TTCTGTGATTCCTGTCTGGCCCAGAACTTTGGAGCTCTCTTTCACAAGCTTCCTCTAGGCCTGTTTCTAGCATAGGGGTTCAAATCTTCCAAGTTGATAGCTTACTCTTTTCCGCTAGGATCTTGGATGCTGGATCATTTCATACAGTTCTCTATTCAGAGGAATACTCCCCAAAGTCCACCCTGGAGACCAGTTGTTTTCCTTTGGTCCTGTCATTCTTGCCTTCTTTGGCTGCCTTCTCCCTGGTGGTGTGTCAGAGAGGTCTCTTCATCTTGCACAACAAAGATGTTCCTCGTTTAGAGGTATTTCTTTCTCTAATTTTCAGATTGCCTTGAAGAAGCCATTCCCCTCAACTTTGACTGTGGTATTTTATGGTTTAAAGTTAATTTGTGAGATATATTGAGGCAGACATCTTTACTTCTCCTTCAGTGTGAAAGCAGACATCTTAGCAAAGTCAACCTTGCCCTCTCTTGCCTCCATTGCTGTGCTCTGGGGGCACACGAGCGTGAAGGAGTGGTGGCCCATGTGCATGGTGGGGTAAACTTGCCTCCTGACAGGCCTTTTCTTACAACTTCCTCTGTTTGGCACAACAGCAAGGCAGAACAGCAGCAGCTGGCATAGGATTTGTCAAGGCACAAGCTGGCATGTGAGGTCCATGTCTAGCAGGACAGAGCTAAAGTGGAATGAGTTAAGAAACATTCCCATTTTGTTCATTTTGCACATGTAAAACACATGGAATCAACTAGCCATACTTTGCCTGGCAACATGGGACAATGCTGCTCTTGATTAGATCTTTCTTTTAATCTAGAATTTCTGAACTGCTATGATAAACTAGGTTCCTCTGACAGGAACTAGTAGAAACCTTAGAAAAGTTTTCTTAAACCTTTCAGTCAGAAGATTACAAAAAGAAGAAGGCTGGAAAAAAAATGGACTCAATTTTGATTCAGACCAGTAAGATTTCTGGGAGAGAACTGAGGTTAAAAACTAAAGGACCTACTTACTGTGAGTACTTGTTACAGATCTCTGAAAAACTAATTCTTGTGTTTTTTTCCCTGGAGACAGTTTTAAGTTTTCCCCCAATAAAGGGACATTATCCTCCAAGGAAAGGGACACTGGCCTTTCTCGAAATCCAGGCATCATCCTGCCTTTCACTGTGTTACAGGAGACTGGCTCTTGCAACAAAATTTCATGGAGATAAAATATTTGCAGCGAGCCCAATAAACCACTAGGATCGGCTTGCCTATTCCAAACACTCGAAGGCTTCAAGCAGACCCTTCTAAACCTGAAGGCATGTGAATTCAGTGTTGCAACCAAGATCTGTTAAGTATTTATGGGACAATTTAAAATACTGAGGTCTTGAATTTCTCTACAAACTTTTTTACTGACATGTTCAACATGACATGTGTTTCCAGAATCTTTCTAGTCTGCCTTAAATAGCTGCAACCAGTATTACCTCCCAAAACTTAACCTCTGGCTATCAAGATTGTTTTGCTGCCACCAAGCGTATGCTGCTATCAGAGATAAGGCAATAATATGCAGAGCAGGCTATAGATGCTGAATTTAGATTAACTTATGAGCAAAATAAGGCACGATATGTGGTAATCACTGGCTCTGTACATGTGAGAGTGAAGAGAAGACAGGGTGAAATCGTCCCAAGGTGAAGTATCATTTAGGTATTTTGAGCTGATTTTCATCCCTACATGATTTGTGATCATGACAGTGACTGCAATGGTAATATTTCATCAGTAACACATGATGCACAGCCTACAAAATATGAGGCTTTGCACTTTTGGAAGGGGTGGAGAAATGAGTCAGCATAACTCAGTAAGAACAACAATAAATGTAATGGGATATACCGTCATATACACAAAAGATTTTTTTCAGTCACTCATGATGGACTGATAAAATAGAAAACATCACAAAAGCAGAGCAGATAGGAAAAGTATTTGTAGTGTAGCTCCCAAGAAAAAAAGTGGATGTTTCTTATGGCTAAAAAAATTTAAAAAAAATAGAGGAGAGAGAAACGAGCTGTTGCAAAGCAGCAGAAGTGAACTATGACATTATCTGTACTAACCTATAGAGATTAGTGTAACAAATTTATTAGTAATATTTTACAAGAAGCATCCACAGCTAAAATGATACAGTTTTAATTGCTTGCCATATATCAGCTCATCTTTCAACTGAAGAAAAGATATATATGGTTGAAAAGATCTTGATGCCTGGAGTGTTTGTGGTATTTGATCACTACACAAATTAATAATCCTTTGTGTGAATTCATATATTGAGGCATGCTGATGTCTTCAGCCTAATGAATTAAACAAAGTAAATTGTTGACCATTCTTCTGGTTATAAATGTCACTCATATAAAATGCAGCATGATAAAGCACAAAAAGGAAGAGGATTTCATTTAGCTATATTAGTGCTTGAATTCTTGAACTAGCACTTTGATTTCAGCAAAAGAATTAATTTCACTCACCTACTTTCTCTGGGAAAGTTCTTTTTTTTTTCGTTTTCTTTGGGAAATTGTAAACACTGTAAAGCTTGGCAGGCTGAATATGGGTTATTTCGAGAAGGACAGGGTGCTAGAAGACATAGGAGGTATGGGCATGTTTCAGGAACTGCTTTTGGGGAAATGTTTAATGCTCTTTCTTGTGTTCATTCTCCCAGTGCCTTACAATTAGTTATCACAGAATCATAGAACGCTTAAGGTTGGAAGGGACCTCTAGAGATCATCTAGTCCAACCCCCCTGCACACGCAGGGTCACCTAGAGCACGTGGCACAGGACTGCGTCCAAGCGGGTTTTGAAGATCCCCAGAGAAGGAGACTCTACAACCTCTCAGGGCAGCCTGTTCCAGGGCTCTGTCACCCTCACTGTTAAGAAATGTTTCCGTAAGTTCCTGTGGAACTTTTGGTGCTTCAGTTTGTGGCTGTTTCCTCTAGGTCTGTCGGTGGAACTGGACACAATACTCCAGATGTGGCCTCACCAGGGCTGAGTAGAGGGGCAGGATCACCTCCCTCGACCTGCTGGAGACACTCTTCTTAATGCAACCCAGGATCCCATTGGCCACAAGGGCACAGTGCTCCCTCATGGTCAACTTGTCGTCCACCATGACCCCCAGGTCTTTCTCTGCAGAGCTGCTCTCCAGAAGGTCGGTCCCCAGCCTGTACTGGTGTCTGGGGTTATTCCTCCCCAAGTGCAGGACCTTGCACTTGTCTTTGTTGAATTTCGTAAGACTTCTTATGATACCTACTGTGGTGAATCCTATTTAAATCAGAGCAAAACAAGTAATTATTTTCTTGTGTAAATGGGCTTGGGTTTACTGTAAAAACACACTAAATATTGCATAAGGCTGAACTTCAAATTAAGAAATTTCATTTATCCTTGTAAAGAGTTCTCTTGGTTGCTGAGCTGAAATCTGACATATTTTGAAATGACAAGTTCAAGTTTCTTATACTTGAGTCTGAGAAAGCTAGAAATAGCAAGTTATAGAGAAATGTATAGTGAGCTAAGGAAATAGTCTTTCCTTAATATGGCTGTTAAAATCACAAGTTGTCACTTTTTTTATAGTTGGAATACATTTGCCTGTGAGGTATAAAAGGATTTCTGGCTCTCTAAGAAATATGTACCCTTTCTAGGAAACCCAATCAGCATGACATAGATCTAACATCAGTCTATACTAGATTTGATTTTCAACATGATCGTAATTATAAACCCCTGCAAGATAACCTGAGTGCTATAGAGAATAAAGCGGCCACTGGAAAACATTTTCACTATTTTTATTTGAATAACCATATAAAGAAAGCACAGACTATTTAATTTGTGAAACAGCTGAATTTGGTACAGTTTAAAAATACACATTAAAGGACATACAATCTATGACTAGCCTTAGACAGCACTTTCCAGCAGGAAACATTTGTTTTATCTCATGGAAGATCAGCAACAGAAGATCAGTTTTTGCACAAAACCGTGGTACAGCACAGCATGGCAATTGTAGTTTTCCTAGAACTTGACAGACCGCTGAGTGGTTCATACACTAAATGGAGGTAGTGAATCAGTCCAGGAAAGACCATTTGCTTCCACATACTTGCAATATTTGACTTTTCAGTTAGTGCCGTAAAGTTCCTTTCCAATCTTTTCATCACAGAAGTCCATAGCAGCAGCCGCGGTTTAACAATAGGATTTTTTTTTATGCATAAAAATGCACATATAACTGGAGACTCCAGTGCTGTTTCCTGTTTTCCATTTGCTCCCAAAGGCTCTGCAAAGGTTCTCTTCATTCTGTCATTGCAGGATAAAACATAGACTGGAAAATGTTTGCTCCAAATTAACTCAATGTCAATAAGATTTCTCTTTACTAGATTTGCATAAATATAATTTCATTGTTCTTTTCTTACTTCAATTTTAAGCTTCATATGTCCAGCAGTGGACAGAGGGGAAAAAATGCAGACTTTTGTAACTTTCATTTCGCTGATGATTAAAAAGTTTTTGCAGACTTCTCCTAGGATTTATATTTGTTGTCATGTCCATTGTCAGAAATGTAGCGTACTGTTGCCATCCACTAATTGTCCATTTCCAGTCTAGAAATTGATCTGCTTCTTCTCACATCTTCTTTCACACAGTCCTTGCAACTTAACAGAGTGGAAATTCAATGAATTTAGTGTTTTCCATTTTTCTTCAGACTTTGCCAACCATGTGAAAAACATGCTTTCTCAAGTTTAATGTCATATTCAGAATATAACAAATGAAAAAGTATGGATATGTCCAAAAACGAAGAGCTGAAGAGGTCCACATCTTCAAATGTCTTCAAAGTGCTTCTATAGATTTCTTCTATTAAAGTAGTTTTAATATAGGAAACAGTAAAAAAAGTTACAAAATATTATAAAAAGATAGCCCCAGCCAGGGGGGAAGAAAATGCTAACTTATAAAATGTTTCATTGGATGCTATGGTAGTTGTTGCAGAATGGCATGGATTCTTCACTTTTGAAAATCCCTGTTCCTCTGCAAAATTTATGTAAGTAAGAACAATCCTAAAATGTTCATCCATGCAAAACATAATTTTCAGGATCAGCAGTCTTCATACATTTCTGTTGATACCCGTAAAGAAACTTTCTAGAAGAAAAACACAGCACAATCAACTTTAATTTCATAGTTCTATGATTTAAATCATGGGGAGACAAAACAAAGTTAGCATGGTTAAGTGAAATACATACTGAGAGAAATGAAAAAGGGAAGGGTTCTTTTTCTCAAAATTTGGCATTCAACAAGTTTTATGAACTGCTTTTCTGCATGAAGTGGTTAAGACAGTAAGGCGATGGAATCTAAAAATCCCACTGTCTCATTGCAGTGCTCTAATAAGATATAATGTGTCATTGACAAATACTGGCTTTAGTTTTCATGCTGTTTCATAACCTGTAAGTTGAGGCCTGCATTTTCTATTTATTTTAATTTTATTACTTTCTAATATTTATTATGTGCACAGTGTTTACATTTGGTTACACTTTTATATTGGAACTCTTTGGGATCTGTGATTTGAAGCAGCCCTATCTGTTAATTCAGCTGATTGGAAGACTATAGCATTGCTGCAAACTGTACCACCAACATTAGAGAGTCTTCCTGGTGATAAAACAGATACCATGCTATGCATAGAGATCAGAGCATGATGGACTGGCAATAAATATACAAATACAAGAGAAACAAATGATAAATGTTATGATGAAAAATTTGGTTTTGAAGTGTCTTTATAATTCTGAAATATGATTTCTGTATTGTAATAATCACATCTACTTCAGTAGTTTTGCTGGGTTGGGGAGGCAATTACACTTCTTTAAGGTCATTTATAGTGTAATTTTGAACAAGTACTCTTTTGGGGCTGTGTTTTCTTCTGCAGACTTTGACCTTCATTTTAATAAGGAAAAAGTCCTACAGCTGTCCTACCAGCACCCAAATGTAAACTGGTGTAGAGATGTATGATATCAGTTAATAATTAACTGCATCTCTAGCTGAATGCTGATTTCTATATACCTTAACTGCTCCCCTGCTGAGCTAGTGTGTAAATGAAGAAGCAGATACAAAGTCTTGCATGATCTGATCTAAGGCTTTGGTCTTATGCCAAAAGATTAGAGGATTCTCACTAATTTTCCTCCTTCTCCATCTCCACAATTCCTGGATATCATTTCCTACAATTTATGACAGCACACAGTGACCCACATATGTGTTTGCTGTCAGTTTTGCAGTTCTACAGGTGTTTGGATTTACAGTTTTTTGCTTTTCTACCTTAAGGTCTATTCTACACTTTTGCAAAGATCCAGCAGTGTTATGGGGAACTCCATATACACACAGAGTTTTTGGATATATATATCCTAAAGTCTGAGAAAAACAAGGTGACTATAATCCTCTTAACTCCTACTGCAGTATCCAGGAGGCTGCGTCCTCAAATCTCCACATGTCATTTGCCAGGAGCACCTGCCTCCCCTCCACAAGGTCTTTTGCCAGGGTTAAATCTATTCATATTTTGTATAATTTGTATTTCTGTACAGAAACAAAAAGCCTTGAAATTCTGCACATAGAACATACTGTGTAAACAGCAGGGAACTATCTGTATCATATATCCAGCTAACCACATCAGAAGATTTTCATGTCAGTGCTATTTAAAGAGTATTTGGTATGCTTCATACTGTGAGGTTAAAAAGCACTGAATTATTACAGAAAATACCACAGCTAGAAAGAAATGCAATTTTAGTGGACCTGCTTACTTTGGTATAATATCATTTTTAGAGGGCTTGTTTCTACAAACTTTGACAAATAAGATGTTAACTTATTGAACCATCTTCAAAGGCAGACATCTATTAAACTCCTTTATTACTTTTATTATTGTTTTTTAAAATGGAGAGGAAAAATCTTCATTACATTAACAGAAATCAGCTTTGTAAGTGACACAATTTCTACATGTATAGCTTTGATATTTCTAGGTCAGTTAAAATGGCAAATTTCTATTGATTTTCCTATTACAACAAAATTCACAGCACTTCTTAGCCACTGCCAAAATACATAGATACCAACCTGAAAATCTCTAATGAAGGTGAAAAAGAAGAAGATAAAACCAAAGGCCACTATCCATTCACAGATGGCACTCACAAAATGATAAACATAATCCTGATGGAATAAGCAATAAAAGAAACATGCAAATAAAACAGCAAAATTCTCATTAGTGTACAGAGCAGAAATATTTTGAAATACGGAGACTGCTAACTTTTGGCATTATCCTTCTCTTACTATTTTAAATAAGAAAAAAGGACTCAGAAGGTTACAAATCTTAGAAATATATGTGTCAATAAAAATCCATCAGTTACAAACACCCTTCTTGTCCTATTTTTATATTTGGTTACTTATTATTGTGGATGACAACTTTTGTCTGTGAAATGCAATGATGAATGTTTGAAAGGTTTTCTTTGGGACATCAGCTACCTAGAGTCTTAGGATGCCAGAATGGTGTAAAGGGTCAGGAACCCACAGGAAAAATAAATGATGCTCTGGGGCTCTGAAAAGATAATCCCTAAAAGACAGTGAATGAGTAGTGAAAGGAATACATTAAATCCTGAGTGTAAATGATTCAGGGAGACGTGCTCTATGCTTATGTAACATATCACGTAGTATATTCCTGGTCCTTTCTTTAGCAGTCACAGTTCAACCATAAATAAGCAAAGCAATAATATTGAAATGCATACAAGTGAGTTCAAATACACACAACTTATTTCACCAGTAAGGTAAATGAAACAAGAAAGCAATAAAAAAAAGCAATCTTATAAGCAATATACAGTCAATAAAATTAAATATATCCTTCCCTCAAAGAATTTGTTGTGCTTGTTTTACAAAATGTATAACAAATTGTATTGCTGCAGAACGCTGTGTTGTTATATTTCAAAGGGATATAAAATTTGATTTTTCAGGCCACTTCATTGGCAGTTAGTCCAAGTTTTTATATTTTAAATGGAGGAGAATTTCCTTTTGTAGGTTCAACAAACATTCTAAGGACATATGACTCATCAAAATCATCCTAACAGCCTCTGTAAAAAAGTTATTACAGATTTAGTCTTTAGAGAATACATTTATCAAGGTCACATACATTACCATTAAGCAACACGTATTGTACACTAACAGGACAGATAGTACAAGAAAACTACAGTTAGTACAGAATCCAAAAATATCTTAAATATAATTTTTACATAAAAAATACTTAGTTCTTGTGCAGTGGATATCAGAGGAATACAGTGGTCCACACTCAAAGCTTTTACTCAGAGCCACTGCGTAAATTCAAAAGCACTAATTCAATAATACTATCCCTTATCCCTTAGTGTAAACACTCATAATTATGTTTTAAAATGGATGGCCACCCTTGTTTGACATTCCCTTGCAAGATTTTTTTTTAAAGAAAACCTAATTAAAAAGAAAATATATATATATATAAAATATGGCACATATCATATATATATAATATATATTAATATGACACATACTGAAAGCATGTGTCCTTCTCAGGCAAAATATCCAATCTGTTCCACTAAAAACATTTTGCGTTACCAAAAAAAAAACCTCAATAGGTAGATTTTACTAAAATTATGCTCTTCTGGCAAGACATATTCAATACATTGTTTAACTTGATTTTTGGAAAAACACCCTCATGTGGTATAGTTTGTCCAAAAATAAAAGTCATCTTTCACTGCTGTGATTCTAAGACCAATGAAATTTGATTCAAATGCTGAATAGTGACTTCTGAATCAAGTTGAAGGTCCACTTTTGTTTCGTGTGTATTAAGGTCATTTTCAAGAAATGTGACCGCAAAAAAAGTGGAATGACAGTTTTCTACTGAAGAAATAACAGAAAACATGCTGTAAAAATGGTGAGATTTATGATAATGTACTATTTAAACTCTCTGAAACATAAGAGCATGTATGAGATAATTCGATACAGGATTAAGTTCATAAATTAATGAGATATTACCTTTTCACTTGGAATCCAATGGATTTTTGACATGGGAATTTGTGAAGCAAACACAATCACTGGGAAAAAAAACAATGTAAAGGAAACTACAGAAGTTTAATGATTTACAGTGAAAAATATGTCTGTTTATAAAACTCCCCATCTACTCCTAAATTACAGGAGAGGCTGAACAACCAGCATGTCAAATCAAAATAGTGAGAAAAAAAGAAGTAAATTAAACATTCTTTAAAGGTAACTGATAGTAGCAATTAAAACATATCTGTGAATAAATAACCATTTCTGGTGGCAAAGAGATATTCTTGGCAGGGAGAAATAAAAAATAAAAATAAAAATAAAAATAAATAATAATAATAATAATAATAAAGTCAAAATTACAGTCAGGACTGAACTGTGGAAGAAGTCCCTGCAATGCAAGGAGAACCATGTTGGTTTCCATGGATTGAAAGTAGGAGCCTTGACTTTTAAAAAATAATTTGCTGGGGCCCTTTTTAAAGCCTTTTCATAGCTGCAAACTGAAACTGAAAACTTGCAGCTGGGTGGCTGCCACGTGATGATCTGCTGACCACTCCTTGTCACTGCAGGTCACTGAAATCCCAGTAAAAGCAATGGGGAGACTGATAGGGTACCATGTACCAAACAGTCAAGCATTGAAAGCAAGGCATTTTCCTGATGAGAGGAAAGCCCAACAAATTTTCAGCCTGAAGCTTGAAAATTAGCTTCATTTTGGTTCATTTGTCAACTGCGGTACTGAATTTCAATCCAGCTTTAGTGGATTGAACCAGTGATCTGGTTTTCTATAGCTTATTCATAATCTTTATAGAAAAATCTTCTGTATGTGCCTCACTATTCTACAATTAATTAAAAAATAAAATAATTGTCAGTGGTAAACTGTTTTTGGTAGATTTGGTTTCTGTGGGTCAGATCAAGTAGTTAATGACAATTTATATAGGAATATTATCTTCTTAATCAATCTTAACACATCAAGAATGGCTTCATACCACAGCACATCAAGAACTGGGCTCATAACCAAATCACAGTTTCATCACTCTGTAAATTTCCTTGCTTTATTTGTATAAAATTTAAACTTACTGCCTTAAGCCTTTTTCTTATTAAAAGATAAGTTGTTTCTTTCACAATGATTTCATATAAAGTTCCTTTTCCTGTAACTTGTTCCCGCAAATGCCATCAGAAGAAAACAAGGCCATGTCACAAATCATGTGATATGTCACCAACTATTTTGTTTTCAAAGTCTGTACACTACGCTGGCTTTTTAGGTTCTGCATTTCATTTCAAATTTCAGTTTCCAAATATCATACCATATATATCTCAGTTCTCCCAGTGAAAGATCTTCTAACAGGTTTATAAAACTGTCTTTCTAGTCTTTTCTTACAGAAAGGCTACCAGAAATAAGCATACTTGAATGCAGTTCGAGAAGTGTGTTGACAAGACACAGCAGGTAAATGAATGCACTTGATAATTTCATAATAGCAGCGCGGGTTAGTCATGCAATATAATTTGGACATTCACCAATAAGAGATAGGGAAGCTGTGAAAGTAAAAACTGTAGATCTTGATAGCTTGCACTAAGTATAGGCAAAGTCATACAGTAAACTAAGAATTTCACTTTTATGAACAAACAAAGGTGAGGACATAAGAATTCTGAATCACATTCTGCTTTTTTCAAATAATTAATCTCTTTAGTGACTGCATTCTGTTTCATCTGATGCAATAGGGTCTTCAGAAATACATATCACTGAGAAGATTACTGCATGTGTGCAACAAAGAGTGACAGCCCCTTTGCATTTAGTATGTGTATATCTGCTACATAAAAGAGGTACTTAAAAATATGATGTTACTCTGCTCTTCTTACAGCAATGTGAATTTGGTTATTGGGTTTATTCAAGAAGACAAAGATTTGCAGCAGTAGTTTCCAACCTGAAGGGTAACACGCTGCTCTGTCCATGCTGTTGAAAGCCTTCATATATTAAAAAGGGAGGAAAACATATTTTGCCCATGGCACATTTTTGCTCAGCACTGCTAGCTGAAGAATCTCAAAGAGTGGGAACCACTGGCACAGAGAGAAAGCTGCCACTGTTTGGCTGAGAGACCAAATAGTCCACTGTCCTATATTTGCATCCATTTTCCTGTCCATTCTGCCAAAAGTACTTTGCAAAATATAATGGGTGTAATTATGCAAGCCATCGTCAGCAGATTACATCATAGATTTTAGTGGATAATGCCAGGCAGGTGCTGGTCTAAAATTAGAGTGCTGGACCATATTTTATCTACATGAGCATTAGATTAATTCTAGAAGCTGTGCGCGCTCTTGTGGGCTTTTCTCCCTAATATGAAGACAGTTAGGAAGCTGGGCTAGCTGAGCTCCTGAGGTCCCTTCCAACTTGAAGTACTGGATGTTCCTAAGAAGAACACTGGGGCATTACACTTACATATACCATCAAAAGCCAATACACACTTTTTAGAAAGGCCCTGAAGTTCACCTTCATGTTATCAAGAGTGTCTCAGCATGCTATATGCATGATTATAGCAGAAGTATAAACCCTAAGAAAACAAAGACTGTAATCTCATTTTCATCCTTTACCAGCAATGCTTTAACTTAAAAGGAAAACCATGACCATGCCGTGATATACACCATAAAGGATACTGGGGATGACAGCAATGCATGATATTAGAGATATAGCCATCCTGATGCGACACATGAGGTAAGTATTCCATTGCGGACAGGACTTGTAAGAGATGATAGACTGCAGGGTAATGTATACAACACCAGAGCCAAATGCCACCAAAGCTCCTACGTCATGGACACTGGTAACAGACAGCTCCTGGAAAGAGAACCAACACAACGGTTAGCTGATACTGCTCGTGCCTGGTAGGAGTCATTGAGCCCTAGCCGCACTATGCTGGGCATGACTGAACAGCGGGTCGCAGTCCCTTCTCCCAGATCCACATAGGCAAGATGAAAGAAAAAGGAGAACGAGTAGCTTCTAACCATGCCCAAAGTCATCAGATCAAAGTCAGAATGTGGAAGAGCTTAGATCAGTTTTAATGCTGTACAACCGTTGGACTGTTACCAACTACTATCTGCACAAACAGGAACCGGACTGTGTTCTTAAGAGGATCCATTAGCTCCTTTTCCGCTCTCCTCTGCCAAAAAAAATTAATCCTTTTATGTTAAAAGCTGAATCTGTATTTGTGTGGCCATACTTGAACTAACAGTGAGGTTTCATGGGAGCTGATCTAAATTGGGACTGCTATAGCTCTATCTTCAGTGGCCAGCTACATGGTTCCAGGAAACGAGTCATCAAAAAATTAATTATATGTTGTAAAGAAAAGCATTTCCCAAAATAAGGGGGATTGATATGAAGGACTTCCACTGTCAATTCCTTCAACTATTTAG